TAGAGGCCAGAGCAATGCCATCTAGAGAAACTATGTCATCAGATAAAGAGTCTCTGAGTTGTTTGGGGCCAAGAACAATAACTTCAGTTTTGTCTGAATTTAACATCAGGAAATTGGTGCTCATCCAAGTTTTTATGTCTTTAAGGCAGTTATGGAGTTTAGTTAATTGATTACTTTCTTCTGGCTTCATCGATAAATACAACTGTGTATCATCCGCATAACAATGGAAATTTATAGAGTGATTTCTCATGATGTTACCTAAAGGAAGCATAAATAGAGTAAATAGGATTGGTCCGAGTACAGAACCTTGCGGAACTCCAAAACAAACTTTGGTACGTAAGGATGATTCATTATGAACGTCAACAAACTGAAAATGATCAGATAAATAAGATTTAAACCAGCTTAGTGCAGAACCTTTTTGCATCCTGTTGCAGGACAAACCAGCATCACATGTAATTAGTTCATAACTAGATGAATGTGTACAGCAGCTATTAATAAACAGATGGATGTACTTCTGTACTTCTGATGTTCTAACCTGCTTTGTCTTTATGGTCGGAGACTTATCGTTGTTTTTTGTTCAACAGAGAAGCCTTCTGACATGACCATTACCATCCCTGCTGCAGTGGCTGTTCTTGCTGTCGTCCTCATGGCTGCCACTGGATTCACTGTTTACAGAAAGAAGAAAGGTGGGAGGCCAGACTTAAAGATATTGTCATGTAATTTTTGGGGTGCTTAGGTTTTTTTTACTTTAAGCCACAAAGGGTAAAACAATCCTCAACTCCTATTATGACGCAACCAACAGACTGTTGCATGATGATGATGATGATGATGATGATAGAAAAATGTAATAGCCAAGTAACAGAGTGGATCAGATTTGGTGGAACAAATTATTCTGGTATTTAAAACTGTGACAACTGAAATTATTTGTCTCTTCTTCTTCTCTCCAGCTGAATGCCCTCCATTTCGTGAGTAGAGCTTGTTTTTATTCCTTTTTATCTGGTATTCCAATAACCAATCACCAGAATAAATGTTGGTGTTGTACATTTCTGCAAACCACAGATTTTCAATTTTATGTTGTGCCAATGCTGTGGTTAACATGTGGTTATGTTTAGGCATAAAAAACACCTTGTTGGGGTGAGGAAAACAACATGTTTTGGCTTAAAATGACCAGTTAGGTCACTACAAACATGGCTGGAAATGTCCCGACCTCTATTTAAAAAATAATCGTTTGTTTTGGTCCACAAAAGTCATCTGCCGTCCCATCCTGCTCCTGACGAGAAACTAATCTGAACTATATCATACATACGGAATGTACAAAAGAGCTGTTTATTAACAGCAGTTCAGTGCAGGATGAGTGGAATAATTGTGTGTTTTTCATTACAGCTCCCGACAACAGCTCTGAGCTCTCTGAGAAACTGAATCCAGAGACCTGATTTGCAGACACATCCTGGGCACTGTGAATTACTTCAAATGGGATGCAGAGCAGTAAATGTTGTGACTTCAATTACACTTTAATGTACACGTTTATGACACATTAAAAAACTTAGTTTATCTGCTTTGTCAGGATTGTGTGGATGTAGTTTCATCAGATTTGATTTATGTTGCTTTATCCTGATTGGTGTATGTGACATCGCCTTTTCCCCTTTGACCTCCACCTACTTCATTACTTATAGTGACAAGATGAGCGAGGAAATAAGTTTTTAGGGCCTTAAAGTTAAATGAGGTAATTTAGAGAAAAAAGCCCACAAGGCATGGATACTCAAAAACTTTTACATCAAATGACATTTTTTTTGTTATATTGGGACACTTACATTATAAAATTGTGAAGACAAAGGATGATACTTTCAAAACACGGTACATAACTGATCAGGGCTTCAGTGAGCTCCTGGACAGTCTGTGGCGGTATTTGGCAGCGTCAGATGCAGCGATACATAATGTCCCATACGTGCTCAATTAGATTTAGGTCAGGGGAATGAGAGTGCCAGTCAATGGCATCAATGCCTTCGTCATTTAGGAACTGCCTACACACACTGGCCACATGAGGACAGGCACTGTGCCGCACCAGGAGGAACCCAGGGACCTCACCACCACCACCAAGTCTTCACAGATTCATCAGCCTCATCAGTCTTCAGTCTCAGAGTCATCCGCCACTACCACCACCAGTGTCTGGACTCCATGGGGCATTTATCTTGCTCTGCTCAGATGCCGCTCCATTGCACATCTCCCTTGGTAGTCCAAGCACCAAAGACTTTTTATCAATTCATATTCATTACATCATCTATTAATCTGTACACCTCCAATCTGTATTAAACAGTAATCTTTATCTCATTCACTTGGTCTCTCCTGATGGAACTGTGCTTGTTACTGTAAGTAAGCACAATAAGACCTTCACCAGTAAAAAGCCAATACTTTATCAATACACGTGTTCAGCATGTAGAAAGCAATATTTCAATCTGCTCTGTCCACAGTCTCTCATTCATCGCTTTTATGGTTTACAATCTTGGTTTGCACAACATAAACATTGTGCCAGCAGTCATACTTATTATATAACATTACTGTCTTTACGCAATATTGTGATGTCAGGAGCAATATTCATTTTGTTGGCCTGTTAATTTCTATTCAGTGACATATTGAGTTTATAAAGGCTAGTGACCGTTGCTGCCGTAGACTGTATAAAACTATGCCCTGTGTATTTTCTTAAACACTTCACATCAAAGGAAAATATTAGGAGATGAAGTGTGTGTGTGTGTGTGTGTGTGTGTGTGTGTGTGTGTGAGAGAGAGAGAGAGAGAGAGAGGGAGACAGAGAGAGAATGTGTGTTAATAGTTACTGTTAATGCCGCTTGTTATGCTTCTGTGTGTAAAAAGCACTGAGATTAAATGACAGTATATCTCTCATCCACTCACGCACACGCACACACGTGCGTCAGTAAAAGTCATGGAAACAGAATGGTGGCGTTCTACCAAGGTCATATAAAAGCTGCACGCTTCTCTGAAATCTCCCCTTTGCACTGAGACTTGATACAAGTTGACCTGCGAGCCTTACAAAACCCTCAAGAAAACACTGAGAGATAACTCCAGCTGTACCTACCTGCTGAAAGATGGCGTCCGGACCCCCTGCGATGGAGCACCTGCTGGCCCGAGTCAGGCTGTGGATCACTTCCTTTGCCGGTAAGACATCTTTTAATGTCCTGTCAAATTTAGCCTTTTTATTAATGTTGCTTAAATCATTGAAAGAGAATTTTAGTACAAAATTTGCATTTAATTATTGTAAATTGTTATTATTACTCTCATCATTAGGGACCGAGCCCAGAGGCAGAGGACTGCTCACCTATTGTTTTTGCTGCATTTATTAGGGACCTCTGCCGAAGGACACAAATGAGTTAGTGCCTCTTAAAGGTGACATGTCACAAAACCTTTTGACAATTTTTGCACTAAAATGGCTGTGGCGCGCCCGGTAAGAATGGTGTAGAAACATCAAACCAAAACTGGCTTCTCTGTCAACTCGAGACCTACAAATCACTCATTGACACCACTGACCTAAATCTAACAGGAAATGAGCTAGTGCCTCTGAAAGTTACATGAGCAGATATGTCAGCTGTGAGCTAGACATTGTAAATGTCTCCCCCTTTTCTGCCTGGCTCACTCAACTGCATGTAATTAGCATAACAATGGCTTCACTCTGACAGACACAAGCCTGCTGTGTGTGTTTGGGATAACATTGACCAAACTGACCAGCTCATGTGTCTCATTCCTACATTTTCCTAAATAAATGCCTGATAGCAAAAACATGTAAATACAAGATCTCCTGGTCAAACTATTTTGCCTCATTTAGAATGTGAATCAAACCTGTAGCTACAACTGTGCTGCAGCACTCATGATTAAATACATGTAGTCCTGCTCAGTTTCTCCACTGACATTAACTAGTATATATTTGTGTCTGTGTGATGTTACTTATATCCTCACAGCAGCCGGTAGACATCAAGCACGCTTCCACTAGGTCACATGATTTCAAATGAATATGGATGTGTTGTTTGATTGTCAAAGTTTAATTAGGTCACATGGCTAATGTCTACAACTTTCAAAATATAAGCTCACACCACTTCATAAGAACCCTTTACATTTTTCAAATTGAGTTTGACAATGATTGCATTCATTTGTTGTACACTCAAGCTTTCAACAGGTCAAGAGGTTTTAAATTACTTTAAAAATGACCTTAAAAGTATTTCCATTTATTTTATCAATTTTATGTCTCTGAACCCAAGTGATTGACCTGGAGGGTTGCAGTAAATCACCTCATTTCAAGTACAAGTCAATAACAGTGTTACAAACATCAGGAAAGAATATACATCTTTGAGGAAATGTTACATTCATCAACACAGTAGCCTCATCAAACACCTTTCTTTTGATTTAATTGACAGAAAAATTAAATGCTGTCTTTTTGATGCATACAACATTATGTATACTTAGTGCAATCTGTAACTCCCTCTGCCACAAACAGGAAGTATCTAAACATGTGAGATATGTCATTCCACCACAGAAACAAGGATATGCAACTCACTCATGCATTACTGTGTAACTATGACCAATACAACTGATGCATCAGCCTGCTTCCTGCCATTAAAGCAACAGAATCTTCATTTTAATATTTCATATGTATATTTCAGGCTGAAGTAGTTCATTGACCTAGCTCAGGGCCAAATAACAACTATTAAATTCTCCTTGACATGTATTTTATGGAAATTAGTTCTTTTTTTCCCCCTATAAAAACAGTAGAGCTATGAAACAAACCATTAAACAATTAAAATCCTCAAAACATAGTTAATATTTAATATGTATATTTCACGCTACAGTAGTTCTAAAAGATTGACTTGTTCAAAGTGGCAAAAATATTAATATATTATATTTTTACAGCAGTTTTTGGAAAGGTGATATTTTCTGTCTATAGGGATTTATACATTATTTTATTGAAAAAATTAAACACCACCTACAGTATATACCACTGTTTTCCATCTGTCACATACTGCTACAACCTTTAACACTGATAACTCTGTTGCTACATTTATGATCATGATTGTTAATTACATACTGTATTGTTATCCAGTTAAAATTTATATTATGTACATATATATTCATGTACTTACATCACAATGTGTTACACACAAAACAGGAGTACAGTCACAACAGGCCTTTGCCTTTTACAATACACGGGTACACTTCAATTCTTAACAGCATGACAAACACCATGTTGTTGTTCACATTTTATAATTTCTTTATCATGACAGTGTATTACATTTTAATGTGGATGTTGCATTCTATTGACATAGCTTGTTTTATCAACATTTTGCCTCACAAATAATTCAAAATATCTACGTGAGCTGGAAGCCGAAAAAGCGTGAAGCCAAGGTCCTGACAATGCTGCTAGCAGCTTTAATTACTATTGTTGTTGTTAGCCTGATATTATTATATCATTGTGGACTAAACTGTAACGGTCAATGTAATATTAGTCGGCTTGTTAGGAAAACAATTTTTTTGGTGATTTTTGTCTTTTTCTCGGTGTAAATATGATTATTATAATCTGGTGAGGGTGCCGCTATTTGAGTACACTCAACATGTGCTGAGTTTGGCGGGACAGGTGTGGAAGGTGTTAATAATTGTGTTGTGATTTGAAAACACTGTTAATATTGTTTGAGGAGATTGAATTGTCCATATTTTGTCGGAGGTAAAGATGGCGACCGGGCCAATTTTTGAACGATGCCAAAAATGAGTTTATCTTGTGCGCTATGGAGACGATGGAACGTTTAGGAGCAAACGTCATCACGTCAGCACGCGCAGGTGTAAGCAAACCAGGGCCCGCTCCTCTGTGTGGATACTTGAGGTTGCTGCTTGAAATGTATCCGGACTGTTGTCGGGTCCTTTTAAGTGAAAAAATTGATCACATTAGTGAACTTATTTTCACAAATTCCTCAAAATGCGTGCGTCATTGCGCACACAGGTCTGTGCGCTCAAACATTTTGGCGATGTATGACGCAACACGACAAGCTTGTGGCCTGTTCTGACTCCTGTTATACTAGTCTGAGTTTTATTGTGGTTTATAGAAACAAGATGTGTTTCAGAGGCAAAGCCAGGAACGTGAACAAAGTTATTATGTAGAATTGTGGGTAACACTTTATTTGGACAGTTTGTCTACAGATAGTTTATAGAGTATTTGTAACATTTCAACAGCTTATTAGTTAAAATTCAACAATTCATCTGTTTTGCTTATCTAAAGAATAAATGTGACAATTTACTACATACTGTCAGAGTAATTTAGTTGAACTTGAACTATTCAATCAACCCATGCTGCACAGGTTGAGTGAAAACAAAGTTATTCTGACAGTATGTGGGTATGTTCATGAATTGTCACATATACTCTACAGATAA